TGGAGCAGTTCTCCAAGGGGGATCGGGCAGGGAGAGGAAGTCTGCTGCTGCTTCTGGTAATGCCAGAGTTTCTGCATGCATGGTTCTTGCTTTGCCACCTTTCCTGATGCATGCCAAGGGCCAGCGCAAGGCGTTTTGCTGCCTGGAGTAAAGATACAACGGACTCCCCGTCCACAGGCAGGAGTTGGTCAGAGTGACTCACCAATCTCACGCAGCGGGGCGGTGGAATAGTGCCCCCCCCACCCCTGCAGGCCGCCTCAGAGGTGGGGCCGAGGGGAGTAGCATCTCTGCCTGCGTCCCCCAGCCTCACTCAGCTGCTCCCTGGCATTTCAGCTCGAGGTGGTTGCCTCCCTTTGCTTTACCGCGGGGTTCTCCTCCACAACTCTCTGCAGTGTATCCATAACGAACCCCCAGACCGCCTGAGCATCCTTCTCTCAGAGTCGGACAAGCTGTCTTTCAGTGGGGGGGTTGTGGCTAGCCCAACCCCAGCCCCAACCCCAAGCTAACGTCAAACCTCTTGTAACAATGCAAGGCAAAGCCAAGCCACCCCCTTGTCTCTCCATGCAGCCAAGGGCAGGGGATGTGAAACCAAGCCTTGCTGCGGCACCCGGTGCTCCATGGGGGGCCCATGGCCAGTCTGGAGAGGCAGAGCCCTGCCCAGGAAGGTTGCTTCTAGGTAGCACCAGGACTCACTCAGATTCAGTCAGTTCCCATCCTGTGCCATTGATACAAAGAGAACCTCTATTAAAAAACACTCACAGAACTGCAGACCGAATCAGAAAACCAGCGTGAAGAAGGCACTCTTCGAGATTGGTTTCGGGGGTACTTCCTGTAGGGAAACGCTTCACAGGACGGAGTTATGTGAGGGAGCACAGACCTTTCCCAAAGCTGCTGGCTTGGGATCCAAGCAGGGCTGGCCCCTGGAAAGTTTTCTCCTCGGACTTGTCCAGCTGTTTCGTGGGAGCAAGTGCTTGGAAGCCGGGGTCTGGGCTGAGGACTGGGAGTGGGGGGGCGGGAGCAACCTGCAGGGCCTTCTCACTCCCCTCTCCCAAGCAGAATGCCGGCCAGGCTGGGCTTGGGGGGAGAGGCTTCCCGGCGGCCGGGCGGGCGGCCTTCGCGGTGAGCTCCATGGGGCCATTTGATTACAGCCCTGGATTTTCCTCCCTGGTGTTTGAAGTGCTGAAAACGATGAAGAGCAGGAAAAGTGGAGTGATTTATTAGACTCATAAAAATTCATACTTTGTTATTCCAGTCATCTTACATCTGAAGCTTGTTAGAATGAAAACCCCTGGCGGCTCCCGCCGAGCGAGTGGGGTGGGGGTGGGCGCATTTATCACGTTTCATTCTTGCTGGGGCTGCCACGGCGGCTCTCATTTAGAGAAATGGAGTGGGCTCGTGGAAACGCATTAATAATCATCCTCGGACGGAGGGGGGAGAAAATCCCTTCGTTATCATAAGGGTTGTGTTTGAACAAGGCCCAATACGCCGGGGACCCATTTGCTCTCTTTAACTGCGGCTCGAGCAGGGAAATGTGTTCTCCGTCGACAAGCTGCAGCCACCTCTTGCTGTCCCCGCAGACGATGGGAACAGCGCCCGGCTGTTTCCGGAGCATCCGGCCGGCTGAGTTGCTTCCAGCCGCTTTGGAGGCTTTTGAGGACTTGAATCTCAAGGCTCTGTAAACCCCGGGGAAGAAGTGGCCAAGAGAAAGGAGGATTTGGCTCCCTGGCGAGTGTTCGTGGAACGTGTGGCCTCGTCCCCAGGGGGCCAGCGCCGGGTGCACGTCCCACTTGGGGCGTGTTCTGGAGACGCAAGTGGCTCTTTGCAGGCCTTCCCCATCTGTGCATGAGAGCCATGGAGGCCAGTTCCAGGAGCTGGCATCCATGAAGTCCTCATGTGGAAAAAAGGAGCATCATTAGAATATGATTGTTGTAAACCGCCCCGGAGTTTTGCTTGTGGGGTGATAATAGACATGAAACCAAACAGATAAAAGTATTATCACAAATATTGCCTTCTTTTTTGAACGGTCCCATCAGCTCCAAGGTGGTCAGTGCTGTATAACTGAGCATAGCTGTATGAAACAAAACTATTCCAAGGCTCTGACAGGTCCACTTCAGTTCCAATTCCAAGAGCAGAAATCAGGAAAACAAAGTAACAGCTTAGTAGTTCTTTGTTCGTTTCAATAAGCAACTAAACAGAACATTTCTAAGCTAAAGCAGGAAAATGCCTTGGCCTGTGCTATGAATAGCATGTTGGGTCTGGGAGGACCAGGGTTCGAATTCCCTGCTTAACTGCAAAATGTTGCAGGCCACCTTGGGCAGGGCTCCCTTCTTTCCTGTGCACAGACGCCCCCCCCCCCGGGTTTTTGAGGGTGGGGCAGGTCCAGAAGCTACATTTGCTCTGATGGGCCGCATTTTCCTTCCATGTAAAGCAGCTCCACGTAGGTTGAAGGCTGTGAACGGTGCCCTTTCCCTGTCCCAGTCCAAGTGGGGAGGCGTTGCAGAGGCGCTCGGCTGAACTGCTGCCTGTTAGTTCCTCGGCGGGGCACTCAGAGAGCAAAGGCAGGCAGGTCTCCGGTGGAGGCGTTGTCCATTGTGAGGGCGATTTGGGGTTCTCCCGGAGGCAGCCTTGGCATCTTCAGAACTGTGTCGGCCGCTTTGTGTGGACTGGACTCGTTCTTGTGGGTCAAGAGCTTCTCCAGTCAGGTCTGTTCTCCTATTAGGGGCTGAGATGGGATGCCCTGGGACGCCAGAGGTTCAGTGCCCCAGATTCTGGCAGTAAGCTTGAGGTCTGCTTGGCCTCGGCCCTTGTGGATCTTTCCCCACTGCTCAGTTCAGACACTGAAGTGAGTTTGGGGCTGTTCCCTGCCACACTCTGTTTAAAATGACCACTCTCTGTTTTGTGGTAGCCGGTAGTGACAGAGGCCCAGCATGGTTCCGACACGCTCCTCGCCATGCCTGGTGCGCTCCTGTCCTCCTTGGAACCAGCCATGGTGCCTCATGATCGCTGCTGGGGTGGTCTCACCCCCAGGACAGCTAATTCCCAGCTGAAGTTGGCCATGGCTGGTGTACTGCAGCATCCGCACGGAGGCCCCCCGTGCCTCAGAGGGGTGGTTTTGAGCTCAAGGAAGAGGCAGGGAGTGCGCACGTTCTCCTCACCATGTGAGAGCCTCAATGTGCTCCTCTTATCCTAACCATGGTGAGATCGGGAATGTCAGACATGCAGCAGGCATTAATGGTGTGAACCATCTCGCTGCTTATTGCGGGAGGGCTAAAAGTTCATTGTAAAGCGTTCCCTGTTGGCTCCTGCCAGCAGTGCTCTGGGCACTGCTGGTAAACTTAGACAGATTAAAGTGGCTGCATTGGACAGAGCGAATTGCAAGATGTGTGGGTGGAAGTGCTTGAAAGCCGAGCACTGGCTAGGTTGACGGCAGGAGCGCAGCCTCTGCTGTGTAATGTGCTGACGATGGGAGCATAATGGGCCACCAATCACCAGCAGAGATCTCCGGGTATTAAATCAGCGTTAGCCTTCCGAGGCCTCAAAGCCATACATCGTGAATCTTTGGTACTGGGGTGAGATTTACATGCTTAATTTAATGCCATGAGAAATTTCCCCAGCACAGTAAGAGTGCTCAAGTGGCCAGAGGGCTTGTTGATGAGTGTGTGTGTGTGGCGGGGGGTGGGGGGAGCTGTGGTGGCCCACCTCCAGCCGTGGCACGTAGGTTAAGGAAGCCCTGGTCAAAGCAAGGGGATTTGACTCAGGTTAAGAGGCCACAGCTGGTGATTCTGGGAAGGAATGGGCTTCTCCATTTTGCATGCATGCAATTCTGCATAGAAGATTTGAGTTTACAATAAGCGCTCTGTCTCACTCCTCTGCCTGTGCTCCAACCTTTGACTAGCTGGTGATGAACCCGCAAGCAAACTGGCTTTCCACCAGTATTCAGTATCCAGAGCTTTTATGCCCTGTATATATAACGACAGTAGTAGTTCTAATAATAAAAGTTTATCCCTCCTTTCTAATGCATATGTATCACTCAGGGCAGCTTACAGCAATTAAAGCCACGATAATAAAATACAGCAGCAACAACAGAGGAAGGTATGACAGGTAAAATACAGTCTTCAATAAAATCGCCTCTACCCGGCAAATTAAAAGTCTGCTGCGTAAAAGGCCTTCACGTGTCGGCAGAAGGCGATGGGAGATGAGGTCACCTGCCCCTCACACAGCAAGCAGGTTGCTTCACCAGACCCAGTGGAGCTGCTAAGAGCCATTTCCCAGCGAGCCGTGCTTCGGCCTGGCAGGGGGCATGGAGAAGGGCTTCTCCGCTTGATCCCGCCACGTGGAGAGGTTGATGGGAAAGGAGGAGGATCCAGACGCATTCTGGCCTACATGGGGCTTTCAGGATCATCACAAACACTTTAAAGGGCACAAGGTAACAGTAGTGGCCAGTTCAGGTCATGTCAGATTGGCTTCCTGTGACCTCATGGGCATGTGGCCACTCATCCCCTCGCCACATGTTCTGGGCCAGCAAAAGATGCTTTCAACGTATCTTTAAAACCCCCATTCCAGGGTACCCAGAAGGGCCCTGTGGGTGATGGCTTCAAGAGGTCCAGCAGAAACAGCTGCGGGGGGTGCGCTGCCCCGTCTAGATCCTGGCATGGGCCATTGCCAGGGAGGCGGAAGCTGCCTTACTCCCCCAGCCAAGTGTACAGCTGGATTGAAATGCATTTATATAATTTGCCTTTTCCATGGACTGTTGAAAAAGAAAATGCCCCCGCATGCTCAAACATCTTGCTCACAAGTGTCAGCTTTGGAGCTGGTGGGTAATTGTCTGGACTGCTGCAAGCCACCCAGAACGCTGTGGCTGCGGGTGGTACAGAAACGGAGTGAAGCATCAGCTGGACCCAAGGACGGTCTCTTCAGGAAAGCACGTAAGACGCGCTGGAACCCTCCTTCCGCTGCCCAGTTGCTTACGTGTCGTCTCCTCTTGCCTTGGTATTTATTAGTTCTGCAAAGTGTGACGTGCCAGTTCCCGAGGATGCACACCCGAACATGTTGGTGCAGTGTGCCCAGCCTCACCATCGTGGTATGTGGCGTGTGCGTACAGTGTGAACGGGCTGGGAGCGTCCTCTTCGTGTTTTCTCTCGCTCGGCGTGCTGCTGCGGTAAATCTGCGAATGAGGTCTTATGCGCGAACAGCCCTCTGGCCGCCCGGCCTTGCTTTCAGGGCAAGGCAACTCGCGGGGGGGGGGGTGATGGGGTTTCCTCGAGAGGGGTTGGCGCCCCTGTCGTGGTTGTTGGTGCTGCCTCTCCGGTCCTTGAAGGCTGCCTGGGAGGTGTCTTGCCCGGAGAAAGGTATCTTGGCAGCCGGTGAGGGCTGGCGCTGCCCCCTGCTCCCCTCAGGGGGGTTCCCTGCTCACGCCAGATGAATGGCTGCCTGCCCCTCTGCTCCATGCTGCATGTAGGCTTGCCCACCTTGGCTTCTCTGCAAGGTTCTGCTTTCAGAACAGTTTTAACAGGTCTGTTTACAGAAAAGGCGGAATTAAGGCCAGCAAAAGTTTGGATTTTGAAGAGAGCTTCATTAAGGGATTCTTTTTAAAAGTAAAACCTTTTATCTTTTCTAGGATTGTGGTTCACTGGCTGTTACTTATGCATCCAAGATGGTTCAAAGGGAGCCCCGGTAAGAGCCGGAGCCCTCCGTCTTCCCACAGTCCGCAGGAACATGTGTCCTGTTGCACATCATTAACTTGCCATAATGCCAGAGCTGTGTGTTGTGTTAGAGTTCCACTGGCAGACAAATTTGAAATGACAGATTCCATAGACAGATGCCGAGATTGTGCTATACATGTAGACAGGGCCCAGACAGATGGGTGAAGGAAAGTGCAGAGGGAGGTTGAATAGATTAAACAGATGGGCGGATTGATCAGAAAGACAGATAGGTGGGTCTGCAAGACTGACGGATGAACCTGGGCTCTTCTCCCGTCTCGCAGGGGCTTTTTTTAAAAAAGCCACACACAGATTATTACGGCCAGGGGTGGGGTGGCACTGGAGAATGGGTGGTGTCTCTGGTCTGTGATAAAATCGGATATCTTGTGGAACAGTTTCTATTTTTTTTTTTTTAAAGCAAACTCCCTTGTTGCGGAAGAAAAGTCAAATGCTTCAGACAGGCTGCGTGGGGCTTATGTGGGGAGACAGGAGACCCATCCTCCCTCTGTGGCTGCCCCGTCTCCCAGCCGCCTTCCTCCTTTTGTCGCAGGGATAATTCATCGCCGCTTTCTTGATTTCTCTTTTCTGTCCCACAAGAGCTCCTCGTCCCCCCGCCCAGCCAGACTCAAAAGCGCCCCCCCCCCCGCAGTGGCTGCCCTGCACGGCAGCAGGGGGGGGCCGTGGCTTTGGGGGCGGTCATGCCGCACTGCCTGGAGCTTTGTCACTGTCTAACGATCTGGCTCTCCCTTTAATAGTCCGAATGCTAAAGTGCTCTAATAATGTTCTTTTGCATTCTGCTCCTGAGCGTTATTCCATTAGCCTGGATTACAGCTGTGATTCCTTATATTGATGGCTGGAAATGCCTTGGCTTCTGCCGTGCAGCTTCGTTCGCGTTTGCATTATGGATCTGCAGGCCTGGCTGCCAGCAGCAGGGCTGATGACTGATTCTTAGGCTACGCGGCAGATGATGTATGCCGCCGTGGCCTGGCGTGTGGTGCCTCACCCCCTGCCCCCAGGCGCTCCCCCCCAACGGATAGCGACCCTCGCGTAACGGTTCCGTGACGCCTCGGTCTGACTCCCGGGGTGCAGGAGGGCCTTCCCTGGGGCTGTTCCTCAGCTTGGGAATTCTGTTTGCCCAGGGAGGGTGGCCACAGTGCAGCCAAGGGCTGTCTCGGGGCGACGCAGAGAGCGGCTCTTCATCCCACCCAGTCCTTGTCTTGTGAGGAGAGCACCAAGCAAACCTGTGTCAACTACCGGAACTGGAGTCGGCAGCATGGACAGGTGAGATGGGGCAAGCCAGACAGTTAAATCGGGGGCTGGCGGCCTGACGTCCTCCAGAGTCTACGGACTACCACCCCCATTAGCCTGGCCAGTATGGCCAGTGAAGATGAGTAATGGGAGTAGTAGTCTATCCCTGATAAGCCGCCAGCTCTGGCCTGGGATGGGTAAGAGTGTGCACGCCGTGCTGCATCAGAGCAATGCTCCATTGAGGTCCGTTCGCTCCGTGGTGAACCCGCTGCCCACAAGATCTCACAAACAGGATATAAGTGCAACGGCACACTCCTGCACATGTTCTCCCGCAAGTGGTGCACATGCGAGCTTTGCCACTGGTACTGGAGGTAAGCGTGGGGCCGTGGATGGCGAGCTGCCTCTTCCTCCAGGAATTTGTCTAGCCCCCTTTTAAAGCTGTCCGAGTGGCGGCTGTCCCACAGCAGCAGATTCCACGCTTGACCTGTGCGCTGTGTGAAGGCGTCCTTCCTTGGATCTGTCCTAACCCTCCCGCCCCTTCATGTTTCATCTATGACAAGGTTTGTGTCTCCTGTGATGGATATAGTCAAACCTTAAGCTAGAAGGCTGTCATACTTTATTATATTTGATTTTAGTTTAGGCCCTTTAATGTTACTTTTGTTTTGATTTATTAACATTCGCAGTAAAAGTACCCTGCCTCCCAAAGGAGCCTCTGTCATATGGCAACAATAAAAGCATGTTCCAGTAGCTGTCATTTTGGAAACCCTTGTGCCTTGCATTCGCATGAGCACGTGTGTGGGGGGCGGGCTGGGGGGGAGCACATCTATTTCTGCAGTGGAGATGTGATCCAGGTGCTTCTCTGTGCTATTGGTTAAGTAAACCTCCTCATGCTTAGAAAAAAGCCAGGCAAAGGAACATCAGCATGTTTGGAGTTAGAGCGAAATTGAATGTTAGTTATGATAAATCATTTTTTCATGAATCGGGAACTTGCCCTGCTGTATTATATATGCCCCCTTAGAAATAGCCTGGGGGATGTACTGACGGTGCTCCGCCTGGCTTCCCCAGCCAGTCTCATGCCTTCTGGATGCGTTGGACTGCGGCAGGCAGCGCGGCTGGCCTCCCCCTGGAAGGCTGGGAGGCGCCGCCTGGGAAGGCCTTGCAGCCCCCGCCATTTGGGAGCAGGCACCCTTTGACGCCGGTGTGCATTCATGGACAGCGTGATCCTGCCGCCCTCCTGCCTTCCTGCCGCAGCCCAGTGGGCCAGGCTGCCGTGAGACCAGGAAACGTTCTCCTGCATGGGAGGACACCTGCTTGCACTGGCAAGCAAAGTGTTTTTAACTTTCCAAGTGGAAGTGGTATTTTTGTTGTTTGTTGTTTTTGTTAGTCGCGAAGTCGCATCCGACCCATCGCGACCCCATGGACAACATTCCTCCAGGCCTTCCTGTCTTCCACCATCCCCCGGAGTCCACTTAAGCTCACACCCACTGCTTCAGTGGCCCCATCCAGCCACCTCATCCTCTGCCGTCCCCGTCTTCTTTCGCCGTCAATTGTTCCCAGCATCAGGCTCTTCTCCAGGGAGTCCTTCCTTCTCATGAGGTGGCCAAAGGATTTGAGTTTCATCTTCAGGACCTGGCCTTCTAAAGAGCAGTCAGGGTTGGTCTCCTCTAGGACTGACCGGTTGGATCGCCTTGCGGCCCAAGGGACTCGCAGGAGTCTCTTCTGGCACCACAACTCAAAAGCCTCAGTCCTTCGGTGCTCAGCCTTCCTTATGGTCCAGCTTTTGCAGCCATACACTGCAACTGGGACAACCATGGGAATTCTAACATCTGGACGTTTTTGCTTTACGAGAAGAACAGCTGCACTTGCCAGTTCATTCAGGCAGAAAAAGTGCAGAGATGTTAAGTCGAGCTATTGAAATGGGCGTGCGTTTGCTCAGTAGTCTTCACAGCTACTATGCAAGACGGCTGTTTCCTATTATCCATATATGATCCATGGGCTTCATTATCGTCCGTATAGTTTTTCCCGGGTTGCAAGAAGTTTAGTAGGCATTCAACATGTGGCATTTTTGTCACAGCAAAGCATGTTTACAGCAGCGCCAGAACAGAGTCTGTTGCCTCCACAGAATGCACGTCCAGCTCAGCACCAGATGCAACCACCGTCACCATATAGCTCAGAAAGGCCAAATAACGAACATACAGAAGGACGCCTTTGCTTAACGCAGGATAGAGAATACCAAGCCGATGAGATGTACGCGCGTCCCCTTTCTTGCACACGTGCAGGAACATGTTCCTCTTCCAACAGCAAGAAGACTCTTGCTTCCCTTTGGCCTTTGTAGGATCATCCAGTCTGGGAACAGGTTGTTTTATTTTGGGACAAAGCTCCATCCAGAAGGAATTCCATCTGTCCAGGGGTGTGAGCTACATTTGCCGGCGCTCCCCCCACCGCAATACACCCCGGTTCAAGAATTGCTGTCGGATTAGCTGCACAGTTCACCAGTAGATTCCCTCCCCTTCAGATGCTCATTATGTGGAAACTCACAGCTTTAGCAGCACCTGGTGGGCTATTCCCAAATGTCTGAAGGACAGACCCCTTGGAGTATCTTCCCTTGTTGAAGTTTTAAGGGCGTTAGAGGGAGATCTGGCTGTTGAAATGGCTGATGACCTTTGTGCAGCAGAAGAAACGGAGGGGGAGAATGGAGAGAAGGTTTCTTTTGTTGACTTTTCAGATGTGGAGGGGTGGCCAGTGCGCATTACAGCAAAGAAGAGCATGAAGCAGGGCAGGGCTGGGGCCTGGAAAATGGAGCGCGAAGAACGGAGCAAGGGGGGTGCCACGCAGGGCAGAGGGGGCTGGGCGCTGGGAAGGCCATCTTACCTCTTGGCCCTTGCCTGCCTGTGTTCGCAAATGCTAAGCGCTGCCACTGCTCGGAGTGTTCCTAGGTGTAATCATTGAGTTACAACTTTCATAAAACTCTGCACGCTACCCTCAAGGTCTTTTCCAGCCATCTCACGGCATGCTAACAGCATTCCTGAGTATCAAATTGATTGTGTGCATGCAACGAAATCTGTTCCATGACCATAATAAATATCTTTGTTACTTTCCGTAACCTAATGGAGATATTTATTAATGTTAGCGCACAATAGCTGGAAACGTTTCAGAGGGCTAAATTAAATTCTCCTTGCTTCTTCCAAACTGCATCAACTGTAGCGGTGGG